TTCGCGTGTAAGTTTAACCATTATCTTCCCCACATATCATCATAAACTGTGCGCCTTACCTCTTACTCATTAACCCTCTACCTCGAGTCGCTCTTAGGTCTTTTACAAGGTGAAAACTATTGTAAAAGCATATCAAATGTCATAGGCCACAGAAATCTATATTTTAATACCCTAGAACAAAATAGATTATTAGCGTACTAGCAGCATAGCCGGGCGTTGCCCGTGCTTGATTCAAAAATCGTACGACTCATACAGCAATCGCTATCACTTGACTTAAAATATTTTTGCCCTTCCTTGCCTTTAAAGGAGTGCCCTTTGCCGTGCTGATGTTGCTACATGCCTTACTTCTTGCCTATCTCACACACCGATTTTTTCTAAGCTCTATACTAAACATTAAATCTGTTACGAAAAAAGAATTAAACAAAATGAACACAAAATGAACACAAAACGATCAGCTTTAAAAAAGGACTTGTAACTGGAAAAACGAATGAAAAAAGAATGTTAACAACAAATACTTTTTCACACCCAACCCAATTCTGCGGAATCAGAATCAACTTTGAGTTTAAGCAAACGAATGAACCAATTAGAATAAAGTGCCATGCAGATTTAATTTTTTCCCACTTGTGACGAATGCAGCTATCGATTCTTTTTTTTTTGCATGCTAGCATGCTAGTTAACATTCGTGTCAGTCAGCTGTTGGCTCTCACGCTGGCCAATAGGATCTTCCTGCCTATTCGTGGCAGCCAGCTATAGGCTCTCACTCTGGCCAGTAGAAAATGGCCGCAAACTACATGAAATCTGCCGTAGAAGCATGAAAAAATCGATTATTTCCACTATCGATGGAAGTTGGGAAATGCAAAGTCGGTCTTGGGCTTCCCGCTAACTTGAAGCATGTGCATGTAAATTTTGGTGCAAATCCGTCGAAAATTGCGGCCGTGCATTCGTTTACACACACACACACACACACACACACACACACACACACACACACACACACACACACACGCACACACACACGCACATCCTGCCTTTTATAGATAGAGATTATTTAACATATTAATGTGTTTTGTAATGTCAACGAACATTCGTTGCCACTTTTGTAATGCCAACGAATACCCCTTGTCACTTTTGGCAATGCTCGTTGTAGTAGAGACTTTGTAATCGCCGAAACAACTATAGTACGCCGTTGAACAATGCTGGTATCTGACGCCTTCGAATAATCTCGCACTAATAGGACATGCTCAATAATAAACGCTCGGGAAGTAACCACCATGTAGAGAAATATTATAGTGAATAGTATAGAGAATAGCGGCCCGTATAGTAACAGATGTTAGAAAAAAACGATCATTTAGATCACCTAGCTAATTCCTGCTTATGCATTTCCTCTATTTCACGTGATCCATTTATTCAATAATGGGATCGCCTGTGTTCAAACTCAGCGACACTTTATTTCTATATAAAAATGTGATTGTTACCATTCTAAACTTTTTCATCCATCTTTCACCATAGGTTAAACTTTCCAAAAGTTTTAATTTTAACGTTAATTGCCGCCGGTTTTATTTCTTCTTATTGGTCTTTGCTTAAATATTATTTTCTCTCTTCTTATGCATGTTTTTAAATCATTAATCCTACGTTTTCTGTTGGATAAATATCTGGAGAGGATTAGAGACATTGTATTAATCTAATACTGAAATCTTTTTTTTGTCTTCTGCAAAGTGGGCTATATTTAGCATTTTTAGAATTTGGAACATTGTCTTGCCTGAACGTACTCTTCACTTTGTGACATGTACCATTGTGGGAATGTCTTGTCCAAGAATTTAGAAGAAATATTCTGCATTTGTCTTCACATTGTCAACATCTTTGAACGGACCTTTATAGTGTCTACAATACAGTAGTCCAGATCAGGTGTCTTTAAAGTCGTTTCGATTGGTTCAGTAAATACTTGAATAAGCCATCATGCAGCCAAGCCATCAGGTCAATTCATTGACAGTTGAGAAATCAGTTTTTATGTAATTTGGTCGCCCAGATTACACGTATTGCTTAAAACCGGGGTAGTCGTGGAGTCTGTAGCTAAAGTTATCAATATTGTGCTCTCTGGTTAATTCCATAACCCATATCTCTTTAGATATTTTCTGGATATTCAATTCGCTTTTCCAGTTAATGATTAATTTAATTTTCTTAAAAGACTATTTTTTGATATTCTTAAAGCCACCATTAAAACTTTTGAACGTACCTGGAGTTTATACTGTCTAAATTTTACTCCTGTTCTGTTGTTATTTATTTATATTTCGGAGATGAGGTATTATGTGTACTATTTACATTATTCGGACTATTTTCCCCATCTTTGTCGCCATATTTATTACAAAGTTTCAGCCGTTGTACACTCCGGCCTTCTTCAGGTGGTTGGAATGTCGAACTGAACCCTTTATTACGTTCAGTGGGGTAGACTATTCTAGTTCCACGTGACATGTTTAGTGGATGTCAGTTATCAGTTATCTCCTGTTAACTTCCCTATCCAAGTCCTCCACTGCCTTAAGCGGGTATTGAACTCACACTCTTTGAACAGTCTGTGTTGGTTTCATTTTGTAATATAGAATTTGAAAATCCTTTGTTTTTCATGGTGGAGTATACTTGTATTGTCATTTAATATTTCTCTAAAATGTGAATGTGCTCAGAAATGTTCTTTCAAATGTTATGCAAAAGAACTTGAATCAGACATGGCCGTAATAAAAATCAGTGTTTCGGGATGCTCAAATAGTAAAGGAATTTTTTTAAAATTGCATGTTGAGAAATATATAACATTAATAATAATAATAATAAAAGTTATCTCCTTTACATATTCTTAACATAAACTGACTATAGTGGGACGCTTTTTATGGGCATTTACAAAAATTAACGCCTCTATCCATTACATTCATTTTGTCTTTGCAATTAAACCCCTGAAGATGATGTTACATAATATTAAAAGTACGTTAAAGAAATAACCAAAACTAAGGCGATTTTTTAATCAGTTTTGCGACAGCACTAAGAAATTGTTCTTTGTATTTGAGAGGATTAAAATAAAAATCAATAGAAATAATATATCTAGAACATTATATATATATATATATATATATATATATATATATATATATATGTATTTATATATATAATATTTGATATATATATATAATATTTGATATATATATATATATATATATTTGATATATATATATAATATTTGATATATATGTATATATATATAATATTTGATATATATATATATAATATTTGATATATATATATATATTTATATATATATATATATATATATATATATATATATATATATATATATATATATATATATATATATATATATATATATATATATATATATATATATATATATATATATAATGCGTTGTATACATGAAACCGCCTCCTCTTTCCACTCCAGATGGCGTTAAGTTGTAGGGTGGACTTGAGTCACATATCTTAGCCTGCAAACAAAGAGAAAAACCATGCGAATTCAACAGGAAACCAAGCCACTATATTTCCCAAGAACTCAAGAGTCTTCAGAGATAAGCCAAACGAAAACCTTTCATTAATTTTAACTTTTTTCGCCAAATAGAAGACCCAAGAGCCACCCAAGATACAAGATTAGTAAAGGAGGTTGTGGCACAGCTATTAAAGCAGCAGAATTGTGTTGGAAATATCATGCCTGAATGTGTTTTTCGGACACTGAGACAAACCCACTAATTTGAGAGGGTTAGAGTCACCAATAGAAGTTGTGGGTCATAAATGCTTCTTGTCGGTTAAGTTAAGGAATACATCTATCTATCTATCTATTTATCTATCCCAGTCTGTTCATAGCTATCTATCTACCTCAGTTTGTTCATAGCTATCTATCTATCTATCTATCTATCTATCTATCTATCTCAGTCTGTTATCTATCTATCTATCTATCTATCTATCTATCTATCTATCTATCTATCTATCTATCTCAGTCTGTTAATATCTATCTATCTATCTATCTATCTATCTATCTCAATCTGTTCATATCTATCTATCTATCTATCTCAATCTGTTCATATCTATCTATCTATCTATCTATATCTATCTATCTATCTCAATCTGTTAATATCTATCTATCTATCTATCTATCTATATCTATCTATCTATCTATCTCAATCTGTTAATATCTATCTATCTCAGTCTGTTAATATCTATCTATCTATCTATCTATCTATCTATCTATCTCAGTCTGTTAATATCTATCTCAATCTGTTCATATCTATCTATCTATCTCAGTCTGTTCCTATCTATCTATCTATCTAAGTCTGTTCATATCTATCTATCTCACTCTGTCCGTATCTATCTATCTATCTATCTATCTATGAGATCAATTGATTTTTATCCGATAATATGTGTGTGTGTGTGTGTGTTTATTAAAATGTATGAGTAAGTGTGAAAAATCTTTCGTCTGTCGCATTTTGCACCTTAGGACTTCATCTAACTAAAGTGTTGTTTACGTTGATGTGACTACACATGCGCATGAAAAAGCCAATATATATATATATATATATATATATATATATATGTATGTGTGTGTGTGTGTGTGTGTATGTATGTATGTATATCGATACCCAGGATAGAGATGTCCTTAAAATCTTATGTACGCATCTTAAGCGCCCACATAATGTTCACTCCCGAATAAATCGCTCCAACGCGTGTCGCTATCGTCTCTCTTTGTTGGACACTCTGAGTTTGGACATTGTTACAACGTCCATCATAGACAAAAACTGGACGGGCAGCTCGAAAACTGATGAGATATTGGCTTGAAAAGCAAAAAAAAAAAAAAAAAAGAATTCAAAGAAAACAGGACACTCGGAAATATAGAGTAAATGGAGAGTGACACTTGCGTAGAGTTTGCATTAGGAAAGCCAAACCCCGTGTGTGAAAATGAGAGGAGGAAAAAAAAAGAAGAAGGGAACTCGCGACGTGGAAGGAAAATCTCTTCATGATCGATGTATTTCGATTGTGGGACAGTACGCACGGCTGGATGGTGGCTGGGTTGGTTTCGGGAGAAATAAGGAATTATGGTCGGCAGGGTTTGGGCGTGGCTCAGACGATTCCGAAACGGACGAGAAGAGCTTCAGATTTCTTGGGTGTTGGGAAGAAGGGTGATCATTTTTTTTTTTTTTTGCGACGTATATTTTTGGAAAAGAGAGCAACAGAAAGAAAAGTCTGCGGGTGGTGCAATGGCGGAAGAAGATGTTGGCATGAAAATGGAAATATTTGGGACTGAATAAAAATAAAGGGAAGCGGGAAATAAAGCATTGGAAAACGGTCAGCAAGCTTGATATGTAGAGAATTAATAGCGAGTTCGATCCTAACTGGGTACTCTGCACTTGTGGTATTGTTATAGATCTTCTTCAATGTTTGTTCTTCCATCAGGAAGTTGTCAATCATGGCTCTCCACAATTTCCTGTCAAGTGTAGATCTTAACAACAGTGATACAAGAAAGGTAAAGTAGAAAGATGGATAGCGAAAATACATCGACGGAAGCAAGAGAGAGATAGATAGAAAGAGAGAAAGGAAAAGAGAGAGAGAGAGCATTTAGCTATTGCAGGTAGAAAAGAAGACAAAGAAATGAAGTAAAATGAGAAAAATAATGAAAAAATAGTCTCAAGCTTATTTCGATGAAACAAAGGAAAAAATTAACGAAAAAAAGAAACTGAACGAATGAAAGAAAGGAAGGAAGGAAGGAAAAATAAAAAAGAAAGGAAGGTTGCTAAAAACTGAATGAAAGAAAGAAACTGAAAAATGGAAGACAGAAACCAAAAAGTGAAAGAAAGAAAGAAAGAAAGAAAGAATAAACGGTGACTCAAAGAAATTCCAAATTGATCAGACAGAAAGGAGATAAAGAAGGAATAATGAAAAAGACAACTTATGAAATGAAAAAGAAAGAAGACGCCATAAAAAAGAGTTTGGTAGAAAAACGAATGCATACCAGAAAAATAAAAAAAAAATAATTAAAAGAAAAAAAAAAGAGAGATGCTAAAATTGTTAAAAATAATGAAACAAAAAAGATGGAAAAAAGAAAGTGAAGTTTAAACAGATGGTTAATTAATATATCTTCTTCAGCTTTTTCTATATGCCCTGTCCGTTAAGGACGTGATGGGTTCATGGCTCTCCATAATTTCCTGGCCTTTGTAGCCCTTAGTGAATTGTGTCTTTTCGTGATCCTTCTTAATCCCTGTTTTGCCAGCCATTGCCACAAGTTCTTCAAGCACTTTACTCTTTACTTTCTTTTGTCTCTTTTTTCTTCAACATGTCCTTTGAGTGTTTAATTTTCTAAGCCTTTTTCCTCCTTATTATTTGCCCTAGAAATTTCAAGTGTCTCTTTCCGGTGTTAAGTATGCGTTATTATTGCTTGCATTTTCTATAAACTTTGTCGTTCCTCACATGTTCACTCCATGTTATTCTCGGCATCCTCATAAAACAAGATTTCAGTTGCTTCAAGTCTCCTCTTCATCTGTGAGAAGATTGTCTTGCATTCACTGCCTTAGATGAGAACTGATATCACATAACAGTTCAGTACTCGTTTCTTTGTTTCTAATAAGATTTTCCTATTTGCATTATTCGGACTATTGTCCTCATCTTTGTCGCCATATTTGTTACAATGTTTCGACCGTTGTACACTCCGTCCTTCTTCAGGTGGTTGGAATGTCGAACTGAAACTTTCATTCTGCTCACTGATGTAGACTGTTCTAGTTCCACGTGCCATGTTTAATGGATACCAGTTAGCAGTTATCTCCCCACTCCAAGTTCTCCACTGCCTTAAGCGGGTATTGAACTCACACTCTTTGAACAGTCTACCCCACTGAGCGTAATAAAGGGTTCAGTTCCTTATTCCAACCACCTGAAGAAGGCCGGAGCGTACAACGGCCGAAACGTTGTAATAAATATGGCGACAAAGATGAGGACAATAGGCCGAATAATGTAAAAAGTGTACATAATAACTCATCTCAGAAATATAGACAGATACTGAGATTTTCCTGTTTCTCAATAATTTTCTTAGGTTTTAGAAGGCATCTTTCACTATCCCAATGCGCCTACAGATTTCAGCTTCATAGTTTCCGCCTTGTATTAAAACACTTCCTAAATATATTTTTGTATTTTCCTTTATTTTGTCTTCTTCAATTTGCAATTCGCATATTTGGTTGTATCTTTTTTTATGGCAACCATACATTTCTGTCTTGATCTTTTCGCTTTCTTTTTATTACCTTCAATAGAAGTTCCTGTAGCTTTCTTACAGTGTCTGTTACCAACACTGTGTCATCTGCATATCTAATGTTGTTAAGATTGCAAGCGCTAATAATGAATCCCGCTAAGTCTAATTTTCTCAGAATTACCTCACTGTTAGGATTGAATAAATCCGGTTAGGACAACAAAACTTTCTCTTACACCCCTTTCTATTTTTCTATATTTACGGAATTCACTTACGAATGAATGTCTAAAAAGTAGAAGTTTGCAGAAAATAGATAGAGTGAATGCAAATAGAGAGAAGTACATAGGGTGAATGTAAAAGAGGAGTAAATAGATAGAGTGAATGTAAAAAGAGAGAAGTAAAGAGAGAGAGAGAGAGAGAATGTAAAATGAGACGTATAGTGAATGTAAACAGAGAGAAATAAATAGATAGAGTGAATGTAAAAAGAGAGAAGTAAAAAGAGTGAATGTAAAAAGAGAGAAATAAATAGATAGAGTGAATGTAAAAAGAGAGAAGCAAACAGATAAAGTAAATGTAAAAAGAGAGGAGTAAATAGCGAGAGTCGGAGATGAAAGAGAAAATATATATTTTAAGTACTGAATTTAAAAATAACGTGGAGAAAATTTACTGGAATGATGAAAAGTGAGAAAGAGAGAATTATTAACGAAGATAACTAATTAAAAAACTTAAAAATAAAAATTTAGAAACAACAAAGATATTACGTTAAATTGGTAAATAATAAAAATTGGGAATATATAAAAAAAAGAGAAGATAGAGAATCTGTAAAAGAAGGAGGAAGAGAGAAAAAGAAGGAAGGTGAGAAAAAAGGAATTATAAAGAGAAAAAGAAAACGGAGAAAAATTAAGGAAGAGAGAAAAGAAGGAAAAGGGGCAATGAAGGAAGAAGAGAGAAAAGAAGGAAGAAAAGAAGGAAGAACAAAGAAATGGAAGAGAGAAGAAAGAAAAGAAAAGAAGAACAAAGAAAGGGAATGAAAAAGAGAGTAAGATGAGAAAAAAAGAGAGAAAAATAAGGAAGAAGAGAGATAAGGAAAAAAGCGAAAAACGAAAGAAGAGAGTAAAGAAAGAAGAAAAAGAAAAGGAAGAGGGCAAATAAAGTAAGAAGGGAGAAAGAGAATGAAAAAGAGAGAAAGATATAGAAGACGAGAAAAATAAGGAAGAAGAGAAAGATAAGGAAGAAGAGAAAGATAAGGAAGAAGAGAGAAAAGTAGAACGAAGAGAGAAAAGGTTGGAAGTGAAAAGGAAGGAAGAAAATAGAAAAGGAAGAAATAAAAGAGGAAAAAAAAGATGGAGGAAAAGAGAAAAAAGGAAAAAAAGAGGGAAATGTAGAACGAAGAGAGATATGAAAAAAGTGAGAAAAAAAATGCAGTAAAGCGAAAGGAATGAAAAAGAGAAAAAATAAAGACGAAGTGATGAAAAATACGTGAGAAACGTAAGAAAAGAGACCGAAAAAGAAGAAAAAAGACAGAAAAAGAAGAAAAAAGCGAGAAAAGAAGTAAAGAGATCAAAAAGAAAGAAATGTCATATAAATAAGAAAAAAACTATAAACTGAAATATTAAATAAATTAAAGAAAATAGGGAAAAAAATGGATATTCGTCTTGAAGACAAATTGAACTCGAACAAAAGAAAAGAATATGATAAGTAATTCTTAAAAAGAATCCAACAAAAAAAAGAGCGAGAAAGAATGAGTTGAATAAAAATCGAATGCAGTTCAGGAAATCGTTCCTAAAATAAAAGGTGGAATGAAATATAAGAAATCAAAATTAATGGCAAAAAAGTGAAAGGAAAAAATGGAGAAAGAAATAAAAAACGGTTGAGGGGGGAAAAATAAATAATGAAGAAAATTAAACAAAAAGAAACGTAGGAAAAAAAAAATGAAAGACAAATCCAGACAAAAAGAAAGATAGAAAGAATTATAGAGAGAAATAGGAGAGCTGGTTTCGGGATGAAAAATGAAATATCTGAGCGTAATGAAAAAACAGGAAGACATATAGAGAACTATTCGCTTTTGTTTTGCAGATATTGGATAAAAAAAATGTAGACAGACGGACGGACAATGAAGACAGACGGACATTTAGACGACTTTTTGACAGAAACAAAAATAAAAACCAACACAAAATTGATAAAAAAAAAATACAACAAAAATGTCAAAAAAATATAACTGAAATCAATAAAAAGCATAAATAACACGAAAAAAAAAACAAATAAGATTAACTGTGAAATGTAATAAAATCAGTTGTTATTCCCAAATCAGATATACTAACAAGTTAACGCTAACGAAACAAGCGAAGAAGTAATAACAACATTTTTTTTAAACTTCTCACCCCAATCAAGGCGATAACACCTCTGAGACGCAATGGCTTTCTGGAAGAGATAGAGAATGAGAACAATTTAGTGAAGAGAATAGATAATAAAAGAATACGTTTCAGGAAGTCACAAGATGGCGATTTGCATTTTACATATTCGAAGATGGTAGGTTGCAGGGAAGCAAGTATTTTATCATAATACAACTAAATTGTTCAGTATAATTTCCCTTTGAAGTAAATGGTCTTATTTGAAAGCATAATAATTTAGTAATAACGTGCATGTACCGTGCATGTTTCCCGTATACAATGTGTAAAGCTTCGGTAAATTAGAAATTTTATAAGGTTGGGCTATAAGGCATTCACTGATCACCGGAATGAAATTCCAACGCTACGATTTTGAACCTAAACTTAATTTTTAACTTCGTTTCCTGAAAAAAAAACCTTCACGGTTTAGAAAAAACATTTGTCTTTATCATGTCAAACACCAATTTTCAAATTGAGGGCAATACAGCGGTTTCAAAATCGACCTGCCCTACTTGTACAACGCGTAAAAGTTTCAGTTTTACTATTTTCATTTTCTGATGGATCCTAATTCTTAAGTAAACGATGGAATAATTTTCTTGTGAGGTTTACGTCTATAAAATACGCGTGGATATTACACTATTGCTTTGTTAATTATTTTAGCCTAACAACTTTAACCAAATAGTGCAATAAAAATCAAAAGTAGGAATACATGTCATTATTTAAAAAAGAGGGTAAAAAAATGAAAAGATCTAAAATTTCTATTTCAATGAAGCAGACATTAAACGCATGAAAGCATTATCGCCTTCTATATTTTCTGTCTTTCTTCCTGAAACAAATTAGCGTCTTTTATATGTCTTTTCCATCTGGAACAGTCGATTATTTTTTTTAGGTATTGGCAGGGTCTAACGTACATATACTAATAAAAGAACTAAAGAATAAACAGGTGGTTATAGATAGGGTATAGATTTTAAAAGCATTGTTTGTAAGCTGTAATTGTCTATAATTTGGCGAGTGTTAATGAATATCAAAGAATAATAAATGCATTTCCTGTTGGTAGAGGTGGAGTATTTCATTACAGACGACTATCGGCGTCGGACAGGGATGCCTCCTCTCGCCAACACTTTTCGACCTGTTTGTGGAGGGAATTATGGCGAAATCCTCCACGACCACAACAATTTTATCTCTATCATTTTTTTTTTCTTGTTTTAAGCATTTCACCCCAAGCAAGGCGGGATGCCACCAGTAGTTAGGGGTTTACAGAGTGGGAGCGAGAGTAAAGAGATGTAATGGAGAAAGAATGAAGAGAATGGCAGGGAATAGGTCAGGACATCTGGAGATGTCGATTGACATTACATTTGAATAGTTGGAGATTATAGCTATCAGCGAAACAAGTAATAGGAAGAGAATTCCACAGACGGGAAGTGCGAGACATGAAGCCATTGGAGTAGAAGAGACGGCCGCATTTAACCGTTTCGATAGTGATAGGGTAGGACCGTGATGCCAACCTAGTAGCACGCTTAAATTCATGCAATCTGTGAACTAGCGAAAGTAGCTCGTCGGAGCAGTTACCGTGAAAGTGTTTGTAGAAAAGATAGAGGGAGGCGACGGCACGTCTGGGAGAGAGCTACTGAAGACGAGATGCCAGATTAGGACCAACTACGTTACTTATCCGTCTCTGGATGTTGGCGAGGACCTTAAAGCGAAAAGCGGGGGCACCAGACCATATATGGCAACAGTATTCCATGCAAGGGGGAATGGTTGATTTGTAGATTTGAAGGATGGACTCAGGCGAGAAAAGCCTTTTGGCGTGACACAGGGAATCAACTTTCCTTGCGGTGGATGAAGCAATTGATTCAATGTATTTGTTCCATCTCAGGTCAGCGGATAGTGTGAGACCAAGCAGTCGTCAAGAGGTGCTCTTGTAGAGTTGAGCATCAGACATTCTAATGGGTGGCAGGGATGGTTCCCTGTGGTGAGTAATAGAGAACAGTTTTGTTTTAGAGGCATTAAAGTTAACCAGCCAATTCCTACCCCAGTCTACAACCGATTGGAGGTCCTTTTCGAGACCAACGGCCAGATTAGTTTTGTCAGCAATACCAGATTTGCTATTGAGGCAGGAGTAAATAGTAGTGTTATCAGCATAGATGCCTACTTGGGAACTGATGACATCGGGGAGATGGTTAATGAAGATAAGGAACAGAATAGGGCCTAGGATAGAGCCTTGGGGAACACCTGTGTTCGTGGGAAAGGAACTGAGGGAGAATCTGTCTGTAATCAGCGTTTAGCAGACGATATTGAACTTACGTCGTGCAGTAACAATGAGCTGATAGACTTGAACCACAAACTAGCTGTAGGAACCGGCACATATAGAATGGATCTCAACACAGAGAAAACAAAGTAATGGTGAAGCAATACCAGCATCACCATGGAAAGCAAACCACTGGAGGGAGTTTTTATCTTTACATACTTGGCGGTAACACTGTTCAAAGATGGCACCTGCAACGCAGGTATCCCCGCGCGAATCGCAACGGCCACAGAGGCGATGACCAGACTGGAAGGGATACGGAAGAGTAACACCACTTTCCATACCAAGTTCAAGCTTTACAAATTGGTAATCGCATCCAACCTCCTTTACGGATGTGAAACTTTCACATTCCTGACTGAGACAGGAAAAATTATCCAGGCGTTCGAGAACAAATGTTTGAGAAAGCTCCTGCTCATTTCCTACCGAGAGCACAAAACCAATGACTATGTACGCAGCAAGGTCAAAAGTCTCATAGGATGACAGGAATCTCTCCTTAACACTATTAAGCGTCGAAAGATGTAGATTGACTACATCGTGTTGGAATTTTTGGGTACCCTGGTGTACTAGTGAGCCTGCCAAAATGAGCTGACTCATTTTATAGTTCACCAATAGAAAGGTTAACCAATCAGAAGGCTCAAAATGTTCAATTCGACGTGTATAAAGGCGGCCATGTTTTTTCCCGAATATGCATTGCCAGCCTTTGATATCGAAGACTGAATTATTACGGAACAGCTGCTGGTGGTATTGGCGATATAGTCAGATTCAGTAGAGTGTCTGACTCGTGAGTGTGAATCTTTAACGTTGTTTCATTGAAGTGATTACGTACTGTGCTGTATTCTATATTCATAGACTATGGTGAACATGGTCAGGACATCAAACAGTATAAAAGCCCCTGCAAGACCCTCATGAAAGCCACTGTTGGAGGCGAACGCAAGCAAGGACGGCGACGGAAGAGCTGGTCAGACAACATAAAAGAGTGAACAGATATAAAAATGTGCTCCGACTATTGAAGTAGTCAAAGAATTAATGATGATGAGAGGTGTTTACATGTTCTCAGGTGCTTTTCAGTCGGTCAATTTGAAAACAAATTGTTTTGTGATGTCAGACGCCTTCGTCGTTGTCACTTTTGTGATGTCAACAAATGCTCGTTATCACGTTCGTAATGCTCGTTTTAGTCAAGACTTTGGAATCGCAGATAATTGTAGTAACTCCACTGAAATAATTCACGCACTAGTAATACTTGTTTGAATAGTAAACGCTGAATAGTAATCTGTAGGTTGATCAGTATAGAGAAATAGTATAGAGTATCGCGATCACTTGGACGCCACGCTAATTCCCATATATACCTTTCCTTTACAATCACGTGGTCTACTTATTAGAAATGGAATCACCTGTGTTTTCTCACTGGTGATCTGTGTTCAAATCCCAGTTTCGGCAATTGTTAACATTTCTTTCGAAGGTAAAAAAAAGACAATAATTATATTTAAAATGGCCTCAGTGCCGTTCTGAATGCAAATGCTTGCCTCAGTCAGCTTTTGCTCGTTCATGTTGGGATTCATGTTTATGATAGTGACCTTTAAAATGTCCTTCTTACCGTCAGATTTCTAGATGACCCTCCTCTTTACAGACGTAGTAGTCAAGTTTTTCAAATAGAGAAAAAAAGGATACATTAATTGATTGGCTCGTTTTCTATTTCAGATTATTATTTTTATAAATATTTTACATTAAAATAATATATTTGGAGATAATGATTGGGGGAGAAAGAATATTTGCGCCTAAACGAACAGAACTGAAATTGAAACTCGGCACTCGAAGAATAATTCGAGTCATTATCCATTACAAAAGCCGCACATCCTGAGCTGTCAAACATTTAGGTAATGACCAGGCTCAATATGGTTTAATTTTGCAGATCTTATAGTAACTGGTGTTCCAACGATTTATGGTTGTAAGGTTCCAGCAGAAATAAATATCACATATACCTCACAAAAATACAAAATATTAAGACATTGGTGGCAATAGTATCTTCATCTAGCTAATAATTTTCCATTACGTGGAAAGGTATTTCTGCCACAACTAATATATATATATATATATATATATATATATATATATATATATATATATATATATATATATATATGCATATTAATTTCAGATAAATTGTATCTGTAGAAGAAAAAATTAATAAAAAAACAAGGCATCGGCTAAAAATAGTTTTCTTCTTGTCTTTCTGTTCATATGCACACACACACACACACACACTCACTTTTTTTTAGCAGGTAGTGTTTCTTATTGTCTTGCACACTTTTTTCTGTATTTTTACATTCAGAATGCTTTAAAAATTCCATTTACAAG